GTCTACGTCTGCTAGTACTACTTGTCCTCTACTCCCTTTCTTCATCTTGGCCCAGGCGGGCATTCTCTCCTTTAGCTCGTCAGCCATGCCTGTGAGGGAGGTGCCTAAAGAGACTCCGACACATGCAGTCTCTGGACAACTATCTAAGCACCGACCTACAACCTCTGCCATAGGCGCATGTGGTGTGGGAGTTTCCTGCCGGCTCGCGCTCGTTTCCCCACATGGCCTTATGGTAGGGGTAGTTGCAACCCCTACCGGCGGCTGCGTTTTGACCCCTGCGCAACCGATCAGGCCTCTCTATACTTTCGAGAATATTTGATGATGTGGCCAGGGTCACCGCAATATATGCACTGCCCCTAGTCCACATGTTGTTGCCAGCCGCGCTGGTCGAGGCCCAAATCTTCCCAAGGTCGGCCCTGTGGCAGACCTGGGTGCCAACCACTTCTCCTATAGGGTGACATGTTCCCACTATTCGGTAACATATTTCCAAAATGGTTTTGCGAGGGACCTCGACCCCTGCCTCCCGCTTGGCGGTTCCCTCTACCGCCAACCCCCTGATCACCCTGGAAACGACCACCTGAGGCCCGGCCCCCTTGGCCCTGGCTTCTACCTCCTTGCGGCCTCCCTCCGACCGCGACAACAGCATAAGTCCTCCCCTGGCTAGCGCTACTGTCCTCTTCCTCTTCTAGTCCACACTCTATCTGGTCGTAGGGGACTTCATCCATACCACCTTCGTCTAGTGTAAGGATCAGACGATCCTTTGTCTTGACCTGACCCGAGATGGTACGGCCTTTCCACTTTTTACCCTTGTCCAGGTCCTTGTGCCAAAAAGTGGAGACTGACATGGACCGCGCTTCGAACGCTACCACTTCCCTGCTCAGAGCATCATAGGTCATGGTAGGCTGCTGACCTTTTTCAAGGAAATGCCCAAGTAGCTGTTCGGGCATGGCACGATAGAAGAGGTTGACCAATTGGGTCTCGGTGACCCCATGGTCAGGAACGACGACTAACTCGTCCATCACACCTTTGAGTGCCCTGACACTCYTCCATTGGCGAGAATGGATGGTTTGCAGCTTATCTGAGGCTTTCACACTACGGGTAACGTCTGCAAACCGTTCTCTCAATAACTTAAGGAAATCGTTGAGAGGGGTAAACGCTGAATACACAACTAAGTCATCGTTGCAATTGGCGGCGCGACATAGGGAACGGGCGAAGCTTGCTGCTTCCTCCCTAAGAGCGTGGATAACTATCAGGACGTGTTCGTCTGGGGCGACTTTCTGCAAGTGCACATACGTTTTAATATTGGCTTCCCAATTGTCGAAATTCTCCTCCTCCTTTCCACTATAGGATTTGTGGAACTTCACTTTAACAGGCTCCCCACGAGGACGTGCTTCTACTTCCTTGGGTGCAGCCCGCCTGGCGCCCTCTATGGCGCCCGTGCAATAACGCTTCGTGTTCTCTAGGCGGGCCTTCACCTCTGAGCCCACCTGCATCACTAACTCACGTGCGAAGTCTCTGAATCCCAGCCGTACGGATCGCAGGGCTATGTCCTGACTCCTACCAAACTAATATTGCTCTTCCTGGTTCTCGGCTAGGCGCTCTATGTTCCTCGCCATGATCTGCATCTTCCCCAACAGGTCCACCTGTGCCGCCATCTGCTCTCCCTGTTTCTTTACTTCTTCCAATTCCCTTGCCGCCTGGCTCACTGCGTCCACTCTCTTCTTCCTTTCCCTCATCAGTCGCAACTTCCACTCCATCCTCTTTTCATCCTCTATGGTCTGCCGCTTGAGTGGGTCTTCCTCTACATCCCACTCTTTCATGGCCGCCTCCTGCCCTTCCCTGGTTACATACGTTAACGCCACCTCCTCTTCTCCCAGGGATAAATTGGCCACACATTCCGTAATCTTCTTTTCCAACGGGTCTTCCTTCACACCACTGGGTTCTCCTCTTCCTCTTGTCCTTTTCTCCTCTCCAGTGGCTGTTCTTCTACCTGTTCTTCTGCCTCTACCGCTTTAAGTTTTTCTTCCTCCTTTTTCAACTTCTCCATCTCTTCCTCAATCTTCTTCTTCTTCGCCGCCTGTTCTTCCAACAAGTTCTTCTTCTTGTTCTCCTTATCCCTTCTCTCCTTCATGATGGCGGCGGCTTTCGCATCCTGCTTTGCTGTGTAAGGAGAGGTGCTCGTTCCCGTACGCGTGTCAACCATGGTGATAGACGCACAACCAAGTAACGGTTCCACTCCTCACCACTTAGAATCTCCCCCTAACTAACTCAACTTAAGACCAACTCAATCTAAGGACCACAGACTCCGTATAGAACCCTACCAACGACGGTCTCTAGCCTGGACTTTAACTACAGCCATAACTACAAAACCTATTGCTGAGCAGGAGGCATTTAAGGAGATCCCCCGTAACTCCTCAGGAATTCTTTAACATCGTAGACAGGACGACGCGATGAGCAGGTTCTCTCAAGACTTAGACGACCCGTTGTGCAGCCCACAACTCGGATTTTGGGCCTACCGTGCCACACCGAGCAGCCCGCCGGTCAGTACCGGTCCTTGGGAGAGTTTGTGTCCTCCAGGACAGTCGAGTCGTCAGACACAGCCTTTAGCCCTCCTCAGCCCGTGCGGGTTTGGTCAACGAGGCCCTATCCTTCATACACAGAGTCCTATCACCTGGACAGAAGAGACTCAATGCAGAAAGAAGAGACAGACAGACTCAAACTAAGCAAGCACCATAGGGTGAGCGTACATCCATAGGGTGAAAGGGCCTAGCGAGATTATACCAACTCCAGCTTGGTCAACGTCGTGGTCAAGAACTCCAGTCAACGCCTTGATCAACGCTTGATCAACGCTTGATCAACGCAGTCAAACCTTGGTCAACACTCCGATCAACCCTGTGCTCAACACCCGGTCAACTCTTGGTCAACACCGAGGTCAACCCTCAAGTCCGACTATGGCTGCCGACACCTTCTTCCTCGCCAACTTCCCTTTTCTTCCCCTTCTTTGCCTTTCTTCTATCTCGCCCCTTTCTTCTTCCTTTCTCTTCTCTTTTTTTTTTTTTTTTTTTTTTTTTTTC